ACCTGCCGGTGTCGGCCAAGTGCACCGTGTGTGATAAAACGTGCGGCAGTGTGCTGCGGCTGCAGGACTGGAGGTGTCTGTGGTGTAAAGCAATGCCTGTACACACACACACACACACACACACACACACACACACACACACACACACACGTCAGATGTGTGAACAGGTGAGCTGTCTCCACAGGTGCACTCCAGCTGTAAGGAGCAGCTGTCCTCCAAGTGTCCCCTTGGTCAGTGCAAAGTGTCCGTCATCCCTCCGACGGCACTCAACAGCATCGACTCAGACGGTGAGTGTGCTCCTGTCAGTCTGAGCCCCACGCTGCCCCCCGCAGGGCAAACACACTCACTGCAGATCTGCTCACACAGCCGTCATCCCCACCATCACCATTATAATCACTAACATTACCACCTCACGCTGACGCGACCCTGCAGGTTTCCTTCTTATTTCCCCTGATGTCAGTAACACACACAGTGAACCCTCTGAACATGATCGCACAGTCAGCGTTCTCCTGAATGATGGGTACGGCCGCTCGGACAGTACCGCCACATCTCCGTCTCTGTACCTGCATGTCTGTGCTGGAGCTTCATTAAAATGGCGGTAAAAACGGACATGTCAGAGAACTAAACACAGCTGTCTTCATCCCACAAGAAAGAACATCTCCAGACTGCAATTAAAGATAATAAACAATAAAGATGAGTGTGCTCGGTAAACAGGCAGGTTCATCCACACCATCAACGTGTCTCCTCACAGAGAAACGTTGAGCTCTGTGCCATAAACTTTGAAGACGTCAGAATGCCGACACTTCCCCCACAAAGATGACCTTTGACACCAATACGAACCAATAAAGTTGTGGTCTGACGACCGTTGAAAAAGCTCACCACCCTCACCGGTCACTACAGCAGACCCACTCACTCTGTGCAGGCTGAAATATGACAGCAAAGGGCCTTAGGGTGGGCTCTCGGGTTAAAGCGGCTGTTACAGAGGTTTTAATGTGTGCAGCATCAGAGCCAGCACCGCCCACGTCGGTCTGCAGGAGGTCGACACAAACCAGTGCCCCACTAACCCACGGCAGACCAACAGCTGGTGTGTGTGTGTGTGTGTGTGCGCAGGTTTCTGGAAGGCGTCGTGTCCTCCGTCCTGCACCAGTCCTCTGTTGGTCTTTGTTAACTCTAAAAGTGGAGACAATCAGGGCGTGAAGTTCCTGCGGCGCTTCAAGCAGCTGCTGAACCCAGCGCAGGTGTTTGACCTGATGAATGGAGGGCCTCACCTGGGGTGACACGCACACAGACGCACACAGACAAAAACACAGTAACACACAGTATGTTTGACATGCAAGTTCACACCTCTGTGTGTGTGTGTGTGGCAGTCTGCGGCTGTTCCAGAAGTTCGATACCTTCAGGATCCTGGTGTGTGGAGGAGATGGCAGCGTTGGCTGGGTGCTGTCTGAGATCGATATGCTCACGCTGCACAAGCAGGTACGAGCTTGCGGGTTAACTCGTGCTCTGCCTCCCGCCGTGCTCGCCGCTGACTGTGTGTATCTGTGTTTCAGTGTCAGCTCGGCGTTCTTCCTCTGGGGACCGGGAATGACCTTGCCCGGGTTCTGGGCTGGGGTTCGGCCTGCGACGATGACACCCAGCTCCCTCAAATTCTGGAGAAACTGGAGAGAGCCAGCACCAAGATGCTTGACAGGTGACCAGTTATCTGATGTCACACGAGGATGGGGACGACCTACGGGTCCGGGCTGTAGCTCAGGTAAACCACGCCTTTCTCTCTTCCTGTTGCAGGTGGAGCATCATGGTCTATGAGACTAAGTTTCCACGGCAACACTCTGCATCCACTGTCACCGAGGACTGCAGCGATGACTCTGAGGTGAGACCTCAGCACTGCTCTGATGAAGAATGGGTGTGGCCAATCTCATTGTCCTCTGCATTGGTCGTGTGTGGGTTTCTGTGATTCTTTCCTCTGGTGGAACAAACCAAAGCCACTCATTTACAAAGAGTATAACAGTATTCAGAGGCTTAGCATGCTTGGATGAGGCTTTATGAGCAAACTGGCTTTTTCTGGTTTGTGCAGGACCAGCTTTGGCAGGTTTTAATATTAGTTAATCAGATCATCGTCAATAAGACAATAACCAGGGCAGCAGTGATGCCAGTGCTGCTCCCTGACTTTAATACTGATCAGTATTAAAGTCAGGGATCAATGTTACCTAGCAACCTAATGATGAGTAAGTGGATATGTTTCCGTGAATGTGGCTGAGCTTGTGCTGAATGTGAGCAGAGGGGCCGATCTGACACTGACAGAAGCCACCATGATTTTATTTTGAAAGTGTCGTGCTTTCTGAATCAGATTGGGAACAACGAACAGACTCCTCTGACTCGACTGTTTCCATCCTCTAATCCAGGTCCAGCACATTCTCACGTATGAGGACTCAGTGGCTGCTCACCTCTCCAAGATCCTGACCTCTGACAAGCACTCGGTGGTTATCTCCTCGGCCAAGTACGCCCACCCACCTGCGCAGCCATCTGTGTCGTGTCTTAGGTGTAATTGAGTAATGGTGGTGTTTGTGTGGTTCATTGCAGAGTTCTCTGTGAGACGGTGAAGGACTTTGTGGCCCGGGTTGGTAAAGCTTACGAGAAGAACACAGAGAGTTCGGAGGAGTCAGAGGCCATGGCCAAGAAGGTACCACAACTGAAAAGGCACCAGTCTGTGTTTGATGACTCGAGTCTGTGTTTGATGACTCGAGTCTGTGTTTGATGACTCGCATTTTCTGTCTCAGTGCGGTGTGCTGAAGGAGAAGTTGGACTCGTTGCTGAAGACTCTAAATGAGGAGTCTCAGGCGTCCTCTGTGCTCCCTCCAGCTCCTCCCCCAACCATCGCTGAGGAGCAGGAGGAGGTGGAGGGACTTGTGCTGCCTCCTCTTCATCTTCCTCCTCCTCCCCACTTTCTGCCCATTTCCACCTGCTCTTCACGCCCCACCCCTTCCACCTCCTCCTCCTCTGTGGTAGCAGCTGCCATTTTTAAACCTCGAGAACAGCTGATGCTGAGAGCCAACAGTCTGAAGAAGGCCATCCGGCAGATCATTGAGCACACTGAGAAAGGTGAGCCCGTCATGGTCAGGACTCACCTGAACAGGTGTGGTGGTTTCACAGAGGAGCTGTTCAGATACAGCTCAGTAAAGTCAAATCTCCATGAGGCTGTGGATACTCAGCTACAGTCAGTACAGCTGCCCCTTAGCAGGCTGCCACAGGCTGGCCTATCAGAGGAAAGCAGGTGTTTGGGGAGGAGGGCTTTAAAGAGACGAGTGATAACAGGTTTATTTTCGACGATGGATCGGGGGGCTGTATGAGATGCAATTAAAGGGAAAAATTAGATTTTCTGTCCTTCTGAAAAATTTGGGTAAATGCTCATCAGTTCCTCCCACAGATTGAAGCTGGGCTGAGTTACAGAAATGACAAACACACTGATCCAGGATCAGATCTCAATGTCTGCTGCTGCAGAACAGCTCAGCCTCAGGTTTGTTGTTAGACTCTGTCCACAGACAGACCCCAGCTGCGGGACTCAGCTGGGGTCATGCTGGTTCAGATTCAGGAAACCAGGGCAGGAAGCTTGATGAGTTCGGTCACTTTAATTCAATTCAATTCAATTGTATTTATATAGCGCCAAATCACAACATAAGTC